AGTAGCTGAGTGAGTGAGTAGCTGAGTGAGTGAGTAGCTGAGTGAGTGGCTGAGTGGGTAGCTGAGTGAGTGGGTAGCTGAGTGAGTAGCTGAGTGAGTGAGTAGCTGAGTGAGTAGCTGACTGAATGAGTAGTTGAGTGAGTAGCTGAGTGAGTGAGTAGCTGAGTGAGTGGCTGAGTGGGTAGCTGAGTGAGTGGGTAGCTGAGTGAGTAGCTGAGTGAGTGAGTAGCTGAGTGATTGAGTAGCTGAATGAATGAGTGAATGACTGAGTGAGTGGTTGAGTGAGTGAGTAGCTGAGTGAGTGAGTAGCTGAGTGAGTGGCTGAGTGAGTAGCTGAGTGAGTGAGTAGCTGAGTGAGTGAGTGAGTAGCTGAGTGAGTGAGTAGCTGAGTGAGTGAGTAGCTGAGTGAGTGAGTGACTGAGTGACTGAGTGAGTAGCTGAGTGAGTAGCTGAGTGAGTAGCTGAGTGAGTGGCTGAGTGAGTAGCTGAGTGAGTAGCTGAGTGAGTGAGTAGCTGAGTGAGTAGCTGAGTGAGTAGCTGAGTGAGTAGCTGAGTGAGTAGCTGAGTGAGTGAGTAGCTGAGTGATTGAGTAGCTGAGTGACTGAGTGAGTAGCTGAGTGAGTGGGTAGCTGAGTGAGTGGGTAGCTGAGTGAGTGGCTGAGTGAGTGGCTGAGTGAGTAGCTGAGTGAGTGGGTAGCTGAGTGAGTAGTTGAGTGGGTAGCTGAGTGAGTGAGTGACTGAGTGAGTAGCTGAGTGAGTGGGTAGCTGAGTGAATAGCTGAGTGAGTAGCTGAGTGAGTAGCTGAGTGAGTGAGTAGCCAAATGAGTGAGTGAGTAGCTGAGTGAGTAGCTGAGTGAGTAGCTGAGTGAGTAGCTGAGTGAGTGAGTGGCTGAGGGAGTGGCTGAGTGAGTGAGTGGATGAGTGAGTGGGTGAGTGAGTGAGTGAGTAGCTGAGTGAGTAGCTGAGTGAGTGAGTGGTTGAGTGAGTAGCTGAGTGAGTAGCTGAGTGAGTGAGTAGCTGAGTGAGTAGCTGAGTGAGTGAGTATCTGAGTGAGTAGCTGAGTGAGTAGCTGAGTGAGTGAGTAGCTGAGTGAGTAGCTGAGTGATTGAGTGAGTATCTGAGTGAGTAGCTGAGTGAGTAGCTGAGTGAGTGAGTAACTGAGTGAGTAGCTGAGTGAGTGGGTAGCTGAGTGAGGGGGTAGCTGAGTGAGTAGCTGAGTGAGTAGCTGAGTGAGTGAGTAGCTGAGTGAGTGAGGAGCTGAGTGAGTAGCTGAGTGAGTGGGTAGCTGAGTGAGTGAGTAGCTGAGTGAGTGGCTGAGTGAGTAGCTGACTGAGTGAGTAGCTGAGTGAGTAGCTGAGTGAGTGAGTGACTGAGTGAGTGGTTGAGTGACTGAGTGAGTGACTGAGTGAGTGAGTAGCTGAGAGATGTGGGTAGCTGAGTGAGTGAGTAGCTGAGTGAGTAGCTGAGTGAGTGAGTGAGTAGCTGAGTGAGTGAGTAAGTAGCTGAGTGAGTGAGTGAGTAGCTGAGTGAGTAGCTGAGTGAGTAGCTGAGTGAGTAGCTGAGTGAGTGAGTGGCTGAGGGAGTGGCTGAGTGAGTGAGTGGATGAGTGAGTGGGTGAGTGAGTGAGTGAGTAACTGAGTGAGTAGCTGAGTGATTGAGTAGCTGAATGAATGAGTGAATGACTGAGTGAGTGGTTGAGTGAGTGAGTAGCTGAGTGAGTGAGTAGCTGAGTGAGTGGCTGAGTGAGTAGCTGAGTGAGTGAGTAGCTGAGTGAGTGAGTGAGTAGCTGAGTGAGTGAGTAGCTGAGTGAGTGAGTAGCTGAGTGAGTGAGTGACTGAGTGACTGAGTGAGTAGCTGAGTGAGTAGCTGAGTGAGTAGCTGAGTGAGTGGCTGAGTGAGTAGCTGAGTGAGTAGCTGAGTGAGTGGGTAGCTGAGTGAGTAGCTGAGTGAGTAGCTGAGTGAGTAGCTGAGTGAGTGAGTGACTGAGTGAGTGGTTGAGTGAGTGAGTGAGTAGCTGAGTGAGTGGCTGAGTGAGTAGCTGAGTGAGTGAGTAGCTGAGTGAGTGGGTAGCTGAGTGAGTAGCTGAGTGAGTGACTGAGTGACTGAGTGAGTAGCTGAGTGAGTGACTGAGTGACTGAGTGAGTAGCTGAGTGAGTAGCTGAGTGAGTAGCTGAGTGAGTAGCTGAGTGAGTGAGTAGCTGAGTGAGTAGCTGAGTGAGTGAGTGGTTGAGTGAGTAGCTGAGTGAGTAGCTGAGTGAGTAGCTGAGTGAGTGAGTAGCTGAGTGAGTGAGTAGCTGAGTGAGTGGCTGAGTGGGTAGCTGAGTGAGTGGGTAGCTGAGTGAGTAGCTGAGTGAGTGAGTAGCTGAGTGAGTAGCTGACTGAATGAGTAGTTGAGTGAGTAGCTGAGTGAGTGAGTAGCTGAGTGAGTGGCTGAGTGGGTAGCTGAGTGAGTGGGTAGCTGAGTGAGTAGCTGAGTGAGTGAGTAGCTGAGTGATTGAGTAGCTGAATGAATGAGTGAATGACTGAGTGAGTGGTTGAGTGAGTGAGTAGCTGAGTGAGTGAGTAGCTGAGTGAGTGGCTGAGTGAGTAGCTGAGTGAGTGAGTAGCTGAGTGAGTGAGTGAGTAGCTGAGTGAGTGAGTAGCTGAGTGAGTGAGTAGCAGAGTGAGTGAGTGACTGAGTGACTGAGTGAGTAGCTGAGTGAGTAGCTGAGTGAGTAGCTGAGTGAGTGGCTGAGTGAGTAGCTGAGTGAGTAGCTGAGTGAGTGGGTAGCTGAGTGAGTAGCTGAGTGAGTAGCTGAGTGAGTAGCTGAGTGAGTAGCTGAGTGAGTGAGTAGCTGAGTGATTGAGTAGCTGAGTGACTGAGTGAGTAGCTGAGTGAGTGGGTAGCTGAGTGAGTGGGTAGCTGAGTGAGTGAGTAGCTGAGTGAGTGAGTAGCTGAGTGATTGAGTAGTTGAATGAGTGATTGAGTAGCTGAGTGAGTGAGTGACTGAGTGAGTGGTTGAGTGAGTGAGTGAGTAGCTGAGTGAGTGGCTGAGTGAGTAGCTGAGTGAGTGAGTAGCTGAGTGAGTGGGTAGCTGAGTGAGTAGCTGAGTGAGTGACTGAGTGACTGAGTGAGTAGCTGAGTGAGTGACTGAGTGACTGAGTGAGTAGCTGAGTGAGTAGCTGAGTGAGTAGCTGAGTGAGTAGCTGAGTGAGTGAGTAGCTGAGTGAGTAGCTGAGTGAGTGAGTGGTTGAGTGAGTAGCTGAGTGAGTAGCTGAGTGAGTAGCTGAGTGAGTGAGTAGCTGAGTGAGTGAGTAGCTGAGTGAGTGGCTGAGTGGGTAGCTGAGTGAGTGGGTAGCTGAGTGAGTAGCTGAGTGAGTGAGTAGCTGAGTGAGCAGCTGACTGAATGAGTAGTTGAGTGAGTAGCTGAGTGAGTGAGTGGCTGAGTGGGTAGCTGAGTGAGTGGGTAGCTGAGTGAGTAGCTGAGTGAGTGAGTAGCTGAGTGATTGAGTAGCTGAATGAATGAGTGAATGACTGAGTGAGTGGTTGAGTGAGTGAGTAGCTGAGTGAGTGAGTAGCTGAGTGAGTGGCTGAGTGAGTAGCTGAGTGAGTGAGTAGCTGAGTGAGTGAGTGAGTAGCTGAGTGAGTGAGTAGCTGAGTGAGTGAGTAGCTGAGTGAGTGAGTGACTGAGTGACTGAGTGAGTAGCTGAGTGAGTAGCTGAGTGAGTAGCTGAGTGAGTGGCTGAGTGAGTAGCTGAGTGAGTAGCTGAGTGAGTGGGTAGCTGAGTGAGTAGCTGAGTGAGTAGCTGAGTGAGTAGCTGAGTGAGTAGCTGAGTGAGTGAGTAGCTGAGTGATTGAGTAGCTGAGTGACTGAGTGAGTAGCTGAGTGAGTGGGTAGCTGAGTGAGTGGGTAGCTGAGTGAGTGGCTGAGTGAGTGGCTGAGTGAGTAGCTGAGTGAGTGGGTAGCTGAGTGAGTAGTTGAGTGGGTAGCTGAGTGAGTGAGTGACTGAGTGAGTAGCTGAGTGAGTGGGTAGCTGAGTGAATAGCTGAGTGAGTAGCTGAGTGAGTAGCTGAGTGAGTGAGTAGCCAAATGAGTGAGTGAGTAGCTGAGTGAGTAGCTGAGTGAGTAGCTGAGTGAGTAGCTGAGTGAGTGAGTGGCTGAGGGAGTGGCTGAGTGAGTGAGTGGATGAGTGAGTGGGTGAGTGAGTGAGTGAGTAGCTGAGTGAGTAGCTGAGTGAGTGAGTGGTTGAGTGAGTAGCTGAGTGAGTAGCTGAGTGAGTGAGTAGCTGAGTGAGTAGCTGAGTGATTGAGTAGCTGAATGAGTGAGTGAGTATCTGAGTGAGTAGCTGAGTGAGTAGCTGAGTGAGTGAGTAGCTGAGTGAGTAGCTGAGTGATTGAGTAGCTGAATGAGTGAGTGAGTATCTGAGTGAGTAGTGGAGTGAGTAGCTGAGTGAGTGAGTAACTGAGTGAGTAGCTGAGTGAGTGGGTAGCTGAGTGAGGGGGTAGCTGAGTGAGTAGCTGAGTGAGTAGCTGAGTGAGTGAGTAGCTGAGTGAGTGAGGAGCTGAGTGAGTAGCTGAGTGAGTGGGTAGCTGAGTGAGTGAGTAGCTGAGTGAGTGGCTGAGTGAGTAGCTGACTGAGTGAGTAGCTGAGTGAGTAGCTGAGTGAGTGAGTGACTGAGTGAGTGGTTGAGTGACTGAGTGAGTGACTGAGTGAGTGAGTAGCTGAGAGATGTGGGTAGCTGAGTGAGTGAGTAGCTGAGTGAGTAGCTGAGTGAGTGAGTGAGTAGCTGAGTGAGTGAGTAAGTAGCTGAGTGAGTGAGTGAGTAGCTGAGTGAGTAGCTGAGTGAGTAGCTGAGTGAGTAGCTGAGTGAGTGAGTGGCTGAGGGAGTGGCTGAGTGAGTGAGTGGATGAGTGAGTGGGTGAGTGAGTGAGTGAGTAACTGAGTGAGTAGCTGAGTGAGTGAGTGGTTGAGTGAGTAGCTGAGTGAGTAGCTGAGTGAGTAGCTGAGTGAGTAGCTCACTTGAGTAAGGTGCTGTAATCCAGGATGGGAGTTAAGCCGAGGAACTTCTGCAGCGTGGACATCAGAGAGACGGGATCTCGACGCAGCTCCATCCCGTCTAAGATCAACAGCTGAGACACAGAGTGAGTGGGTGAGTGAGTGAGTGGGTGGGTGAGTGAGTGAGTGGGTGGGTGGGTGAGTGAGTGGGTGGGTGGGTGGGTGAGTGAGTGAGTGGGTGAGTGAGTGAGTGGGTGGGTGGGTGAGTGAGTGGGTGGGTGGGTGGGTGAGTGAGTGAGTGGGTGAGTGAGTGAGTGGGTGAGTGGGTGAGTGAGTGGGTGGGTGGGTGGGTGAGTGAGTGAGTGGGTGAGTGAGTGAGTGGGTGAGTGGGTGAGTGAGTGAGTGAGTGGGTGGGTGGGTGAGTGAGTGAGTGGGTGAGTGAGTGAGTGGGTGAGTGGGTGAGTGAGTGAGTGAGTGGGTGGGTGGGTGGGTGAGTGAGTGAGTGAGTGGGTGAGTGAGTGAGTGGGTGGGTGGGTGGGTGAGTGGGTGAGTGAGTGAGTGGGTGAGTGGGTGAGTGAGTGAGTGAGTGGGTGGGTGGGTGGGTGAGTGAGTGAGTGAGTGGGTGAGTGAGTGAGTGAGTGGGTGAGTGAGTGGGTGAGTGGGTGAGTGAGTGGGTGGGTGGGTGAGTGGGTGAGTGAGTGGGTGAGTGGGTGGGTGGGTGAGTGGGTGAGTGAGTGGGTGAGTGAGTGAGTGGGTGAGTGGGTGGGTGAGTGAGTGGGTGAGTGAGTGGGTCAGTGAGTGAGTGGGTGAGTGGGTGAGTGAGTGGGTGAGTGAGTGGGTGAGTGAGTGGGTGAGTGAGTGGGTGAGTGAGTGGGTGGGTGGGTGGGTGAGTGAGTGGGTGAGTGAGTGAGTGGGTGAGTGGGTGAGTGAGTGGGTGAGTGAGTGGGTGAGTGAGTGGGTGAGTGAGTGGGTGAGTGAGTGAGTGGGTGAGTGAGTGAGTGGGTGAGTGGGTGAGTGAGTGGGTGAGTGAGTGGGTGAGTGAGTGGGTGAGTGAGTGAGTGGGTGAGTGAGTGAGTGGGTGAGTGGGTGAGTGAGTGAGTGGGTGAGTGGGTGAGTGGGTGAGTGAGTGGGTGAGTGGGTGAGTGGGTGAGTGAGTGGGTGAGTGAGTGAGTGGGTGAGTGAGTGAGTGGGTGAGTGGGTGAGTGGGTGAGTGAGTGGGTGAGTGAGTGGGTGAGTGAGTTGGTGAGCTGGTGAGTGAGTTGGTGAGTAGTAAGTTGGTGAGCGAGTTGGTGAGCTGGTGAGTGAGTTGGTGAGTAGTAAGTTGGTGAGTGAGTTGGTGAGCTGGTGAGTGAGTTGGTGAGTGAGTTGGTGAGTGAGCTGGTGAGTGAGTTGGTGAGTGAGTGGGTGAGTGAGTTGGTGAGCTGGTGAGTGAGTTGGTGAGTAGTAAGTTGGTGAGTGAGTTGGTGAGTGAGTTGGTGAGTGAGTTGGTGAGTGAGTTGGTGAGTTGGTGAGTGAGTTGGTGAGTGAGTTGGTGAGTTGGTGAGTGAGTGGGTGAGTGAGTTGGTGAGCTGGTGAGTGAGTTGGTGAGTAGTAAGTTGGTGAGTGAGTTGGTGAGTGAGTTGGTGAGTGAGTTGGTGAGTGAGTTGGTGAGTGAGCTGGTGAGTGAGTGGGTGAGTGAGTGGGTGAGTGAGTATCTGATTGAGTGAGTGGGTGAGTGAGTGAGTGAGTGGGTGAGTGACCTGGTGAGTGAGTTGGTGAGTAGTAAGTTGGTGAGTGAGTTGGTGAGTGAGCTGGTGAGTGAGTTGGTGAGCTGGTGAGTGAGTTGGTGAGTGAGTTGGTGAGTGAGTAAGTTGGTGAGTTGGTGAGTGAGTTGGTGAGTGAGTTGGTGAGTGAGTTGGTGAGTGGTAAGTTGGTGAGTGAGCTGGTGAGTGAGCTGGTGAGTTGGTGAGTGAGTGGGTGAGTGGGTGAGTGAGTTGGTGAGTGAGTTGGTGAGTGAGTTGGTGAGTGAGTGGGTGAGTGGGTGAGTGAGTTGGTGAGTGAGTTGGTGAGTGAGTTGGTGAGTGAGCTGGTGAGTGAGCTGGTGAGTTGGTGAGTGAGTGGGTGAGTGGGTGAGTGAGTTGGTGAGTGAGTTGGTGAGTGAGTTGGTGAGTGAGTTGGTGAGTGAGTTGGTGAGTTGGTGAGTGAGTTGGTGAGTGAGTTGGTGAGCTGGTGAGTGAGTTGGTGAGTGAGTAAGTTGGTGAGCTGGTGAGTGAGTTGGTGAGTGAGTTGGTGAGTGAGTAAGTTGGTGAGTTGGTGAGTGAGTTGGTGAGTGAGTTGGTGAGTGAGTTGGTGAGTGGTAAGTTGGTGAGTGAGCTGGTGAGTGAGCTGGTGAGTTGGTGAGTGAGTGGGTGAGTGGGTGAGTGAGTTGGTGAGTGAGTTGGTGAGTTGGTGAGTGAGTTGGTGAGTGAGTTGGTGAGTGAGTTGGTGAGTGAGTTGGTGAGTGGTAAGTTGGTGAGTGAGCTGGTGAGTGAGCTGGTGAGTTGGTGAGTGAGTTGGTGAGTGAGTTGGTGAGTGAGTTGGTGAGCTGGTGAGTGAGTTGGTGAGTGAGTTGGTGAGTGGTAAGTTGGTGAGTGAGCTGGTGAGTTGGTGAGTGAGTTGGTAAGCTGGTGAGTGAGCTGGTGAGCTGGTGAGTGAGCTGGTGAGCTGGTGAGTGAGTTGGTGAGCTGGTGAGTGAGTTGGTGAGTGAGTTGGTGAGTGAGTTGCTGAGGAGTTGGTGAGTGAGTTGGTGAGTGAGTTGGTGAGTAGTAAGTTGGTGAGTGAGTTGGTGAGTGAGTTGGTGAGTGAGCTGGTGAGTGAGTTGGTGAGTGAGTTGGTGAGTGAGTGGGTGAGTTGGTGAGTGAGTTGGTGAGTGAGCTGGTGAGTGAGTTGGTGAGTGAGTTGGTGAGTTGGTGAGTGAGTTGGTGAGTGAGTTGGTGAGTGAGTTGGTGAGTGAGTTGGTGAGTGAGTTGGTGAGTGAGTTGGTGAGTAAGTTGGTGAGTAGTAAGTTGGTGAGTGAGTTGGTGAGTTGGTGAGTGAGTTGGTGAGTGAGTTGGTGAGTGGTAAGTTGGTGAGTGAGCTGGTGAGTTGGTGAGTGAGTGGGTGAGTTGGTGAGTGAGTTGGTGAGTGAGTGGGTGAGTTGGTGAGTGAGTTGGTGAGTGAGTTGGTGAGTGAGTTGGTGAGTGAGTTGGTGAGTGAGCTGGTGAGTTGGTGAGTGAGTTGGTGAGTGAGTTGGTGAGTGAGTTGGTGAGTGAGTTGGTGAGTGAGTTGGTGAGTTGGTGAGTGAGTAGGTGAGTGAGTTGGTGAGTTGGTGAGTGAGTTGGTGAGTGAGTTGGTGAGTAGTAAGTTGGTGAGTGAGTTGGTGAATGAGCTGGTGAGTAAGTTGGTGAGTTGGTGAGTGAGTTGGTGAGTGAGTTGGTGAGCTGGTGAGTGAGTTGGTGAGTGAGTAAGTTGGTGAGCTGGTGAGTGAGTTGGTGAGTGAGTTGGTGAGTGAGCTGGTGAGTGAGTTGGTGAGTGAGTTGGTGAGTGAGTTGGTGAGTGAGTTGGTGAGTTGGTGAGTGAGTTGGTGAGTGAGTTGGTGAGTTGGTGAGTGAGTAGGTGAGTGAGTTGGTGAGTTGGTGAGTGAGTTGGTGAGTGAGTTGGTGAGTTGGTGAGTGAGTTGGTGAGTGAGTTGGTGAGTTGGTGAGTGAGTAGGTGAGTGAGTGAGTTGGTGAGTGAGTTGGTGAGTGAGTTGGTGAGTAGTAAGTTGGTGAGTGAGTTGGTGAGTGAGTTGGTGAGTGAGTTGGTGAGTGAGTTGGTGATTGGGTTGGTGAGCTGGTGAGTGAGTTGGTGAGTAGTAAGTTGGTGAGTGAGTTGGTGAGCTGGTGAGTGAGTTGGTGAGTGAGTTGGTGAGCTGGTGAGTGCGTTGGTGAGTGAGTGGGTGAGTGAGTGGGTGAGTGAGTTGGTGAGTGAGCTGGTGAGTGAGTTGGTGAGTGAGTTGGTGAGTAGTGAGTGGGTGAGTGAGTTGGTGAGCTGGTGAGTGAGTTGGTGAGCTGGTGAGTGAGTTGGTGAGTGAGTTGGTGAGCTGGTGAGTGAGTTGGTGAGTGAGTTGGTGAGCTGGTGAGTGAGTTGGTGAGTAGTAAGTTGGTGAGTGAGTTGGTGAGCTGGTGAGTGAGTTGGTGAGTGAGTTGGTGAGCTGGTGAGTGAGTTGGTGAGTGAGTTGGTGAGCTGGTGAGTGAGTTGGTGAGTAGTAAGTTGGTGAGTGAGTTGGTGAGCTGGTGAGTGAGTTGGTGAGTGAGTGGGTGAGTGAGTGGGTGAGTGAGTTGGTGAGTGAGCTGGTGAGTGAGTTGGTGAGTGAGTTGGTGAGTAGTGAGTGGGTGAGTGAGTTGGTGAGCTGGTGAGTGAGCTGGTGAGTAAGTTGGTGAGTAGTAAGTTGGTGAGTGAGCTGGTGAGTGAGTTGGTGAGTGAGCTGGTGAGTGAGTTGGTGAGTGAGTTGGTGAGTGAGTTGGTGAGTGAGTTGGTGAGCTGGTGAGTGAGTTGGTGAGTGAGCTGGTGAGTGAGTTGGTGAGTGAGCTGGTGAGTGAGTGAGTGAGTGGGTGAGTGAGTGGGTGGGTGAGTGAGTGGGTGAGAGAGAGAGAGAGTGAGTGGGTGAGTGAGTGAGTGAGTGGGTGAGTGAGTGAGCTGGTGAGTGAGTTGGTGAGTAGTAAGTTGGTGAGTGAGTTGGTGAGTTGGTGAGTGAGTTGGTGAGTGAGTTGGTGAGTAGTAAGTTGGTGAGTGAGTTGGTGAGTTGGTGAGTGAGTTGGTGAGTGAGCTGGTGAGTGAGTGGGTGAGTTGGTGAGTGAGTTGGTGAGTAAGCTGGTGAGTGAGTGGGTGAGTGAGTTGGTGAGTGAGTTGGTGAGTGAGTGGGTGAGTGAGTAGTAAGTTGGTGAGTGAGTTGGTGAGTGAGTGGGTGAGTGGGTGAGTGAGTGGGTGAGTGGGTGAGTGAGTGGGTGAGTGAGTTGGTGAGTGAGTTGGTGAGTAAGCTGGTGAGTGAGTGGGTGAGTGAGTTGGTGAGTAGTAAGTTGGTGAGTGAGTTGGTGAGTTGGTGAGTGAGTTGGTGAGTGAGTTGGTGAGTGAGTGGGTGGGTGGGTGGGTGAGTGAGTGGGTGGGTGGGTGAGTGGCTGAGTGAGTGAGTGGCTGAGTAGGTGAGTGAGTTGGTGAGTGAGTGAGTGGGTGAGTGAGTAAGCTGGTGAGTGAGTTGGTGAGTGAGTTGGTGAGTGAGTGGGTGAGTAGGTGAGTGAGTTGGTGAGTGAGTTGGTGAGTAGTAAGTTGGTGAGTGAGCAGGTGAGTGAGTGGGTGAGTGAGTTGGTGAGTAGTAAGTTGGTGAGTGAGTTGGTGAGTGAGTTGGTGAGTTGGTGAGTGAGTTGGTGAGTGAGTTGGTGAGTGAGTTGGTGAGTAGTAAGTTGGTGAGTGAGTTGGTGAGTTGGTGAGTGAGTTGGTGAGTGAGTGGGTGAGTTGGTGAGTGAGTTGGTGAGTAAGCTGGTGAGTGAGTGGGTGAGTGAGTTGGTGAGTAGTAAGTTGGTGAGTGAGTTGGTGAGTTGGTGAGTGAGTTGGTGAGTAAGTTGGTGAGTGAGTTGGTGAGTGAGTAGTAAGTTGGTGAGTGAGTTGGTGAGTTGGTGAGTGAGTTGGTGAGTAGTAAGTTGGTGAGTGAGTTGGTGAGTAAGTTGGTGAGTAGTAAGTTGGTGAGTGAGTTGGTGAGTAGTAAGTTGGTGAGTGAGTTGGTGAGTGAGTTGGTGAGTGAGTTGGTGAGTAGTAAGTTGGTGAGTGAGTTGGTGAGTAGTAAGTTGGTGAGTGAGCTGGTGAGTGAGTGGGTGAGTTGGTGAGTGAGTTGGTGAGTAGTAAGTTGGTGAGTGAGTAGTAAGTTGGTGAGTGAGTTGGTGAGTGAGTAGTAAGTTGGTGAGTGAGTGGGTGAGTGAGTTGGTGAGTTGGTGAGTAGTAAGTTGGTGAGTAGTAAGTTGGTGAGTAGTAAGGTGGTGAGTTTGCTCCTCACCTGGCCCGCAGGGAAGTACTTCAGCCAGGCTTCCAAGTGCCGAGCATAGAGCCCCGGATACAAACAGCGATTACGCAACACCACCACCTCAGCTGATGGTGGTGGTGGTGGTGGTGATGGTGGTGGTGGTGGTGATGGTGGTGGTGATGTGGCTGTGATGATCTCGTAGAAGGAGTGGTTCAAAGCGGCTGGGTCGTTGTGAGCCTTCTGATGCTGTGGGGAGGGAGAGGGGGAGAGGTGAGTGGGTGGGTGGGTGGGTGGGTAGGTGGGTGGGTGGGTGAGTGGGTGAGTGGGTGGGTGAGTGAGTGAGTGGGTGAGTGAGTGAGTGAGTAGCTAGCTAGCTGAGTGACTGAGTGACTGAGTGAGTGACTGAGTGAGTGAGTGACTGAGTGAGTGCGTGAGTGAGTGAGTACCTGAGTGAGTGCGTGAGTGACTGAGTGAGTGACTGAGTGATTGACTGAGTGAGTGAGTAGCTAGCTAGCTAGCTGACTGACTGAGTGACTGACTGAGTGAATGACTGAGTGACTGAGTGAGCAGTTAGCTATCTGAGTGACTGAGTGAGTGAGTGATTGAGTGGCTGACTGAGTGGCTGACTGAGTGACTGAGTGAGTGACTGAGTGAGTAGCTAGCTAGCTGAGTGACTGAGTGACTGAGTGAGTAGCTAGCTAGCTAGCTGAGTGACTGAGTGAGTACCTGACTGAGTGACTGAGTGAGTGACTGAGTGAGTGAGTGACTGAGTGACTGAGTGAGTAGCTAGCTAGCTGAGTGACTGAGTGAGTGAGTGAGTAGCTAGCTAGCTAGCTGAGTGAGTGAGTGAGTACCTGACTGAGTGACTGAGTGAGTGACTGAGTGAGTGAGTGACTGAGTGACTGAGTGAGTAGCTAGCTAGCTAGCTGAGTGACTGAGTGAGTACCTGACTGAGTGACTGAGTGAGTGACTGAGTGAGTGAGTGACTGAGTGACTGAGTGAGTAGCTAGCTAGCTGAGTGACTGAGTGACTGAGTGAGTAGCTAGCTAGCTAGCTAAGTGAGTGAGTGACTACCTGACTGAGTGAGTGACTGAGTGACTGACTGAGTGACTGAGTGAGTGACTGAGTGAGTGACTGAGTGAGTAGCTAGCTAGCTGAGTGACTGAGTGAGTAGCTAGCTAGCTAGCTGAGTGAGTGAGTGAGTACCTGAGTGACTGAGTGAGTGACTGAGTGAGTGAGTGACTGAGTGACTGAGTGAGTAGCTAGCTAGCTAGCTGAGTGACTGAGTGAGTACCTGACTGAGTGACTGAGTGAGTGACTGAGTGAGTGACTGAGTGACTGAGTGAGTAGCTAGCTAGCTGAGCGACTGAGTGACTGAGTGAGTAGCTAGCTAGCTAGCTGAGTGAGTGAGTGAGTACCTGACTGAGTGAGTGACTGAGTGACTGACTGAGTGACTGAGTGAGTGACTGAGTGAGTGACTGAGTGAGTAGCTAGCTAGCTGAGTGACTGAGTGACTCAGTGAGTAGCTAGCTAGCTGAGTGAGTGAGTGAGTAGCTAGCTAGCTGAGTGAGTGAGTGAGTAGCTAGCTAGCTGAGTGACTGAGCGAGTAGCTAGCTAGCTGAGTGAGTGACTGAGTGACTGAGTGAGTGAGTGACTGAGTGAGTACCTGAGTGAGTGACTGAGTACCTGGTACCAGGAGTAGCCCTGGTGGTGTAAGGAGCGTGATGAGACGGGCGAGTGGAAGCAGTGAGTGGAGTCTGTGACTGAGTGACTGAGTGAGTGACTGAGTGAGTGAGTGAGTAGCTAGCTAGCTGAGTGACTGAGTGAGTACCTGAGTGAGTGAGTGACTGACTGAGTGACTGAGTGAGTGACTGAGTGACTGAGTGAGTAGCTAGCTAGCTGAGTGACTGAGTGAGTAGCTAGCTAGCTGAGTGACTGAGTGAGTGACTGAGTGACTGAGTGAGTAGCTAGCTAGCTGAGTGACTGAGTGAGTGACTGAGTGAGTGACTGAGTGAGTACCTAGCTAGCTGAGTGACTGAGTGAGTGACTGAGTGAGTGACTGGGTGAGTAGCTAGCTAGCTGAGTGACTGAGTGAGTGACTGAGTGAGTGACTGAGTGAGTAGCTAGCTAGCTGAGTGACTGAGTGAGTGACTGAGTGAGTGACTGAGTGACTGAGTGAGTGACTGAGTGAGTGACTGAGTGAGTAGCTAGCTAGCTGAGTGACTGAGTGACTGAGTGAGTGACTGAGTGAGTGAGTGACTGAGTGAGTGCGTGAGTGAGTGAGTACCTGAGTGACTGAGTGAGTGACTGAGTGAGTGACTGAGTGAGTACCTAGCTAGCTGACTGTGTGAGTACCTGAGTGACTGAGTGAGTGACTGAGTGAGTGAGTAGCTAGCTAGCTGAGTGACTGAGTGAGTACCTGACTGAGTGACTGAGTGAGTGACTGAGTGAGTACCTGACTGAGTGAGTACCTGAGTGACTGAGTGACTGAGTGGGTGACTGAGTGAGTAGCTAGCTACCTGACTGAGTGAGTACCTGAGTGAGTACCTGACTGAGTGAGTGAGTGAGTACCTGGTACCAGGAGTAGCCCTGGTGGTGTAAGGAGCATGATGAGACGGGCGAGTGGAAGCAGTGAGTGGAGTCTGTGACTGAGTGAGTGAGTGAGTCAGTGAGTGACTGAGTCACTCACTGACTCAGTGAGTGACTCAGTGAGTGAGTGACTGAGTGAGTGACTGAGTGAGTGACTGAGTGAGTGACTGTCTGAGTGAGTGAGTACCTGAGTGAGTGACTGAGTGAGTAGCTAGCTAGCTGAGTGAGTGAGTGACTGAGTGAGTGACTGAGTGAGTGAGTGACTGACTGAGTGAGTGAGTGACTGAGTGAGTGACTGACTGAGTGACTGACTGAGTGAGTACCTGACTGAGTGAGTGAGTGACTGAGTGAGTGAGTGACTGAGTGAGTGACTGAGTGAGTGAGTGAGTGACTGAGTGAGTGACTGAGTGAGTGACTGAGTGAGTAGCTAGCTAGCTGAGTGAGTGAGTGACTGAGTGAGTGACTGAGTGAGTGACTGACTGAGTGAGTGAGTGAGTGACTGAGTGAGTGACTGACTGAGTGACTGACTGAGTGAGTGAGTGACTGAGTGAGTACCTGACTGAGTGAGTGAGTGAGTGACTGACTGAGTGAGTGACTGAGTGAGTGACTGAGTGAGTGAGTGAGTGACTGAGTGAGTGACTGAGTGAGTGACTGAGTGAGTGACTGAGTGAGTGACTGAGTGAGTGAGTGAGTGACTGAGTGAGTAGCTAGCTAGCTGAGTGAGTGAGTGACTGAGTGACTGACTGAGTGAGTGACTGACTGAGTGAGTGAGTGAGTGACTGAGTGACTGACTGAGTGACTGACTGAGTGAGTGACTGAGTGAGTACCTGACTGAGTGAGTGAGTGAGTGACTGAGTGAGTGAGTGACTGAGTGAGTGACTGAGTGAGTGAGTGAGTGACTGAGTGAGTGACTGAGTGAGTGACTGAGTGAGTAGCTAGCTAGCTGAGTGAGTGAGTGACTGAGTGAGTGACTGAGTGAGTGACTGACTGAGTGAGTGAGTGAGTGACTGAGTGAGTGACTGAGTGAGTACCTGACTGAGTGAGTGAGTGAGTGACTGAGTGAGTGAGTGACTGAGTGAGTGACTGAGTGAGTGAGTGAGTGACTGAGTGAGTGACTGAGTGAGTGACTGAGTGAGTAGCTAGCTAGCTGAGTGAGTGAGTGACTGAGTGAGTGACTGAGTGAGTGACTGACTGAGTGAGTGAGTGAGTGACTGAGTGAGTGACTGACTGAGTGACTGACTGAGTGAGTGACTGAGTGAGTACCTGACTGAGTGAGTGAGTGAGTGACTGAGTGAGTGAGTGACTGAGTGAGTGAGTGAGTGAGTGACTGAGTGAGTGAGTGAGTGACTGAGTGAGTAGCTAGCTAGCTGAGTGACTGACTGACTGAGTGACTGAGTGAGTAGCTAGCTACCTGACTGAGTGAGTACCTGAGTGAGTACCTGACTGAGTGAGTGAGTGAGTACCTGGTACCAGGAGTAGCCCTGGTGGTGTAAGGAGCGTGATGAGACGGGCGAGTGGAAGCAGTGAGTGGAGTCTGTGACTGAGTGACTGAGTGAGTGACTGAGTGAGTAGCTAGCTAGCTGAGTGACTGAGTGAGTGACTGAGTGAGTGACTGAGTGAGTAGCTAGCTAGCTGAGTGACTGAGTGACTGAGTGAGTAGCTAGCTAGCTGAGTGACTGAGTGAGTGAGTGATTGAGTGACTGAGTGAGTAGCTAGCTAGCTGAGTGACTGAGTGACTGAGTGAGTAGCTAGCTAGCTGAGTGACTGAGTGAGTGAGTGATTGAGTGACTGAGTGAGTAGCTAGCTAGCTGAGTGACTGAGTGACTGAGTGAGTAGCTAGCTAGCTGAGTGACTGAGTGAGTGACTGAGTGAGTGACTGAGTGAGTGACTGAGTGACTGACTGAGTGAGTGACTGAGTGACTGACTGAGTAGCTAGCTAGCTGAGTGAGTGACTGAGTGAGTGAGTGAGTAGCTAGCTAGCTGAGTGACTGAGTGACTGAGTGAGTAGCTAGCTAGCTGAGTGACTGAGTGAGTGACTGAGTGAGTGACTGAGTGAGTGACTGAGTGACTGACTGAGTGAGTGACTGAGTGACTGACTGAGTAGCTAGCTAGCTGAGTGAGTGACTGAGTGAGTAGCTAGCTAGCTGAGTGACTGAGTGAGTGAGTGACTGAGTGACTGAGTGAGTAGCTAGCTAGCTGAGTGACTGAGTGACTGAGTGAGTAGCTAGCTAGCTGAGTGACTGAGTGAGTGAGTGATTGAGTGACTGAGTGAGTAGCTAGCTAGCTGAGTGACTGAGTGACTGAGTGAGTAGCTAGCTAGCTGAGTGACTGAGTGAGTGACTGAGTGAGTGACTGAGTGAGTGACTGAGTGACTGACTGAGTGAGTGACTGAGTGACTGACTGAGTGAGTGAGTAGCTAGCTAGCTGGGTACCTGAGTGAGTACCTGAGTGAGTGAGTAGCTAGCTAGCTGAGTGACTGAGTGAGTAGCTAGCTAGCTGAGTACCTGAGTGACTGAGTGAGTGAGTACCTGACTGAGTGAGTGACTGAGTGAGTGACTGACTGAGTGACTGAGTGAGTAGCTAGCTAGCTAGCTGAGTACCTGACTGACTGAGTGAGTGAGTGACTGAGTGAGTAGCTAGCTAGCTGAGTGACTGAGTGAGTAGCTAGCTAGCTGAGTGACTGAGTGAGTAGCTAGCTAGCTGAGTGACTGAGTGAGTAGCTAGCTAGCTGAGTGAGTGAGTGACTGGGTGAGTAGCTAGCTAGCTGAGTGACTGAGTGATTAGCTAGCTAGCTGAGTGACTGAGTGAGTGAGTGAGTGACTGACTGAGTGAGTGAGTGACTGACTGAGTGAGTGACTGAGTGACTGACTGAGTGAGTGAGTAGCTAGCTAGCTGAGTGACTGAGTGACTGAGTGAGTAGCTAGCTAGCTGAGTGACTGAGTGAGTGAGTGATTGAGTGACTGAGTGAGTAGCTAGCTAGCTGAGTGACTGAGTGACTGAGTGAGTAGCTAGCTAGCTGAGTGACTGAGTGAGTGAGTGATTGAGTGACTGAGTGAGTAGCTAGCTAGCTGAGTGACTGAGTGACTGAGTGAGTAGCTAGCTAGCTGAGTGACTGAGTGAGTGACTGAGTGAGTGACTGAGTGAGTGACTGAGTGACTGACTGAGTGAGTGACTGAGTGACTGACTGAGTAGCTAGCTAGCTGAGTGAGTGACTGAGTGAGTGAGTGAGTAGCTAGCTAGCTGAGTGACTGAGTGACTGAGTGAGTGACTGAGTGAGTAGCTAGCTAGCTGAGTGACTGAGTGAGTGAGTGATTGAGTGACTGAGTGAGTAGCTAGCTAGCTGAGTGACTGAGTGACTGAGTGAGTAGCTAGCTAGCTGAGTGACTGAGTGAGTGAGTGATTGAGTGACTGAGTGAGTAGCTAGCTAGCTGAGTGACTGAGTGACTGAGTGAGTAGCTAGCTAGCTGAGTGACTGAGTGAGTGACTGAGTGAGTGACTGAGTGAGTGACTGAGTGACTGACTGAGTGAGTGACTGAGTGACTGACTGAGTAGCTAGCTAGCTGAGTGAGTGACTGAGTGAGTGAGTGAGTAGCTAGCTAGCTGAGTGACTGAGTGACTGAGTGAGTAGCTAGCTAGCTGAGTGACTGAGTGAGTGACTGAGTGAGTGACTGAGTGAGTGACTGAGTGACTGACTGAGTGAGTGACTGAGTGACTGACTGAGTAGCTAGCTAGCTGAGTGAGTGACTGAGTGAGTAGCTAGCTAGCTGAGTGACTGAGTGAGTGAGTGACTGAGTGACTGAGTGAGTAGCTAGCTAGCTGAGTGACTGAGTGACTGAGTGAGTAGCTAGCTAGCTGAGTGACTGAGTGAGTGAGTGATTGAGTGACTGAGTGAGTAGCTAGCTAGCTGAGTGACTGAGTGACTGAGTGAGTAGCTAGCTAGCTGAGTGACTGAGTGAGTGACTGAGTGAGTGACTGAGTGAGTGACTGAGTGACTGACTGAGTGAGTGACTGAGTGACTGACTGAGTGAGTGAGTAGCTAGCTAGCTGGGTACCTGAGTGAGTACCTGAGTGAGTGAGTAGCTAGCTAGCTGAGTGACTGAGTGAGTAGCTAGCTAGCTGAGTACCTGAGTGACTGAGTGAGTGAGTACCTGACTGAGTGAGTGACTGAGTGAGTGACTGACTGAGTGACTGAGTGAGTAGCTAGCTAGCTAGCTGAGTACCTGACTGACTGAGTGAGTGAGTGACTGAGTGAGTAGCTAGCTAGCTGAGTGACTGAGTGAGTAGCTAGCTAGCTGAGTGACTGAGTGAGTAGCTAGCTAGCTGAGTGACTGAGTGAGTAGCTAGCTAGCTGAGTGAGTGAGTGACTGAGTGAGTAGCTAGCTAGCTGAGTGACTGAGTGATTAGCTAGCTAGCTGAGTGACTGAGTGAGTGAGTGAGTGACTGACTGAGTGAGTGAGTGACTGACTGAGTGAGTGACTGAGTGACTGACTGAGTGAGTGAGTAGCTAGCTAGCTGAGTGACTGAGTGACTGAGTGAGTGAGTGAGTGACTGAGTGAGTAGCTAGCTAGCTGAGTGACTAAGTGAGTGAGTGACTGAGTGAGTAGCTAGCTAGCTGAGTGAGTGAGTGACTGAGTGAGTAGCTAGCTAGCTAGCTGAGTGAGTGAGTGAGTAGCTAGCTAGCTAGCTGAGTGACTGAGTGAGTAGCTAGCTAGCTGAGTACCTGACTGAGTGACTGAGTGAGTACCTGACTGAGTGACTGAGTGAGTACCTGACTGAGTGAGTGAGTACCTGGTACCAGGAGTAGGCCCGTAGCCCCGGCGGGGTAAGGAGCGTGATGAGACGGGCGAGTGGAATCAGTGCGTGGAGTCTGTGACTGAGTGAGTAGCTAGCTAGCTGAGTGACTGAGTGAGTGACTCAGTGACTGAGTGAGTATCTAGCTAGCTGAGTGACTGAGTGAGTGAGTGACTGAGTGACTGAGTGAGTAGCTAGCTAGCTGAGTGACTGAGTGAGTAGCTAGCTAGCTGAGTACCTGACTGAGTGACTGAGTGAGTAGCTAGCTAGCTGAGTACCTGACTGAGTGACTGAGTGAGTACCTGACTGAGTGACTGAGTGAGTACCTGGTACCAGGAGTAGGCCCGTAGCCCTGGTGGTGTAAGGAGCGTGATGAGACGGGCGAGTGGAATCAGTGCGTGGAGTCTCCGTGAGTGAGTGAGTGACTCAGTGAGTGACTGAGTGAGTGACTGAGTGAGTGAGTGAGTGACTGAGTGAGTAGCTAGCTAGCTGAGTGACTGAGTGACTGACTGAGTGAGTGAGTGAGTGACTGAGTGAGTAGCTAGCTAGCTGAGTGACTGAGTGAGTGAGTGAGTGACTGAGTGAGTAGCTAGCTACCTGAGTGACTGAGTGAGTAGCTAGCTAGCTGAGTGAGTGAGTGACTGAGTGAGTAGCTAGCTAGCTGAGTGAGTGACTGAGTGACTGAGTGACTGAGTGAGTAGCTAGCTAGCTGAGTGACTGAGTGACTGAGTGAGTAGCTAGCTAGCTGAGTGAGTGACTGAGTGACTGAGTGACTGAGTGAGTAGCTAGCTAGCTGAGTGACTGACTGAGTGACTGAGTGACTGAGTGAGTAGCTAGCTAGCTGAGTGACTGACTGACTGAGTGAGTACCTGACTGAGTGACTGACTGAGTGAGTACCTGAGTGAGTACCTGACTGAGTGACTGACTGAGTGAGTACCTGAGTGAGTACCTGACTGAGTGACTGAGTGAGTACCTGGTACCAGGAGTATGCCCGTAGCCCCGGCGGGGTAAGGAGCGTGATGAGACGGGCGAGTGGAATCAGTGCGTGGAGTCTGTGACTGAGTGAGTGACTCAGTGAGTAGCTAGCTAGCTGAGTGACTCAGTGACTGAGTGAGTACCTGACTGAGTGAGTGAGTGACTGAGTGACTGAGTGAGTAGCTAGCTAGCTGAGTGACTGAGTGAGTAGCTAGCTAGGTGAGTGACTGAGTGACTGAGTGAGTACCTGACTGAGTGAGTGAGTGAGTGAGTGACTGAGTGAGTAGCTAGCTAGCTGAGTGACTGAGTGAGTAGCTAGCTAGCTGAGTGACTGAGTGAGTAGCTAGCTAGCTGAGTACCTGACTGACTGAGTGAGTACCTGAGTGAGTACCTGACTGAGTGAGTACCTGGTACCAGGAGTATGCCCGTAGCCCCGGCGGGGTAAGGAGCGTGATGAGACGGGCGAGTGGAATCAGTGAGTGGAGTCTGTGACTGAGTGAGTGACTCAGTGACTGAGTGACTGAGTGAATGAGTGAGTGAATGAGTGACTGAGTGAGTGACTCAGTGACTGAGTGAGTGAGTACCTGACTGACTGAGTGAGTGAGTGAGTACCTGACTGAGTGAGTGAGTACCTGAGTGAGTAGCTAGCTAGCTGAGTGAGTACCTGGTACCAGGAGTATGCCCGTAGTCCCGGTGGTGTAAGGAGCGTGATGAGACGGGCGAGTGGAATCAGTGCGTGGAGTCTGTGACTGAGTGAGTGACTCAGTGAGTAGCTAGCTAGCTGAGTGACTCAGTGACTGAGTGAGTACCTGACTGAGTGAGTGAGTGACTGAGTGACTGAGTGAGTAGCTAGCTAGCTGAGTGACTGAGTGAGTAGCTAGCTAGCTGAGTGACTCAGTGACTGAGTGAGTACCTGACTGAGTGAGTGAGTGACTGAGTGACTGAGTGAGTAGCTAGCTAGCTGAGTGACTGAGTGAGTAGCTAGCTAGGTGAGTGACTGAGTGACTGAGTGAGTACCTGACTGAGTGAGTGAGTGAGTGACTGAGTGAGTAGCTAGCTAGCTGAGTGACTGAGTGAGTAGCTAGCTAGCTGAGTGACTGAGTGAGTAGCTAGCTAGCTGAGTGACTGAGTGAGTAGCTAGCTAGCTGAGTGACTGAGTGAGTAGCTAGCTAGCTGAGTGACTGAGTGAGTAGCTAGCTAGCTGAGTGACTGAGTGAGTAGCTAGCTAGCTGAGTACCTGACTGACTGAGTGAGTACCTGAGTGAGTACCTGACTGAGTGAGTACCTGGTACCAGGAGTAGGCCCGTAGCCCTGGTGGTGTAAGGAGCGTGATGAGACGGGCGAGTGGAATCAGTGAGTGGAGTCTCCGTGGGCTCAGCTCGGAGTCAAAGTAGTTGGCACTTTTGTCGGTGAGGAAATCGCTAGACGATACGTTAGACGGAGAGGGGTAGAAATCCATGTACCTGGGGTGAGGAGGGGGAGTGGTGAGGGGTGGTGGTGAGCAGGGGTGGTGAGTCAGCCACTCACCTATCGGATCGTTCGCTCGCTCACTCACTCGCTCGCTCACTCACTCACCTACTCATTCACCCACTCACTCAGTGAGTGGGTGAGTGAGTGAGTGAGTGGGTGAGTGGGTGAGTGAGTGAGTGGGTGAGTGAGTGAGTGGGTGAGTGAGTGTACCTGGGGTGAGGAGGGGGAGTGGTGAGGGGTGGTGGTGAGCAGGGGTGGTGAGTCAGCCACTCACCTATCTGATCGTTCGCTCGCTCACTCACTCGCTCGCTCACTCACTCACCTACTCAGTCACCGACTCACTCACCCGCTCACTCAGTGAGTGGGTGAGTGAGTGGGTGAGTGAGTGAGTGGGTGAGTGAGTGGGTGAGTGAGTGAGTGGGTGAGTGAGTGAGTGAGTGGGTGAGTGAGTGTACCTGGGGTGAGGGGTGGTGGTGAGGAGGAGGGGTGGTGAGCAGGGGTGGTGAGTCAGCCACTCACCTATCGGATCGTTCGCTCGCTCACTCACTCACCTACTCATTCACCCACTCACTCAGTGAGTGGGTGACTGAGTGAGTGGGTGAGTGAGTAGGTGAGTAGGTGAGTGAGTGAGTAGGTGAGTGAGTGAGTGAGTGGGTGGGTGGGTGAGTGAGTGGGTGAGTGAGTGAGTGAGTGGGTGAGTGAGTGAGTGGGTGAGAAGGTGAGTGAGTGAGTGAGTGGGTGAGTGAGTGAGTGAGTGAGTGGGTGAGTGGGTAGGTGAGTGAGTGGGTGAGTGAGTGAGTGGGTGAGTGAGTGTACCTGGGGTGAGGAGGGGGAGTGGTGGTGAGGAGGGGTGGTGAGCAGGGGTGGTGAGTCAGCCACTCACCTATCGGATCGATCGCTCGCTCACTCAATCGCTCGCTCACTCACTCACCTACTCAGTCACCCACTCACTCAGTGAGTGGGTGAGTGAGTGAGTGAGTGGGTGAGTGGGTGAGTGAGTGAGTGGGTGAGTGAGTGAGTGGGTGAGTGAGTGTACCTGGGGTGAGGAGGGGGAGTGGTGAGGGGTGGTGGTGAGCAGGGGTGGTGAGTCAGCCACTCACCTATCGGATCGTTTGCTCGCTCACTCACTCGCTCGCTCACTCGCTCACTCACCTACTCACTCAGTGAGTGGGTGAGTGAGTGAGTGGGTGAGTGAGTAGGTGAGTGAGTGAGTGAGTGGGTGGGTGAGTGAGTGAGTGAGCAGGTGAGTAGGCGAGTGAGTGAGTGAGTGAGTGGGTGGGTGGGTGAGTGAGTGGGTGAGTGGGTGAGTGAGTGAGTGGGTGAGTGAGTGAGTGAGTGGGTGAGTGGGTGAGTGAGTAGGTGAGTAGGTGAGTGAGTAGGTGAGTAGGTGAGTGAGTGAGTGAGTAGGTGAGTGAGTGAGTGGGTGGGTGAGTGAGTGGGTGAGTGGGTGAGTGAGTGAGTGGGTGAGTGAGTGTACCTGGGGTGAGGGGTGGTGGTGAGGAAGAGGGGTGGTGAGCAGGGGTGGTGAGTCAGCCACTCACCTATCGGATCGTTCGTTCGCTCGCTCACTCGCTCGCTCACTCACTCACCTACTCAGTCACCCACTCACTCACCCGCTCACTCAGTGAGTGGGTGAGTGAGTGGGTGAGTGAGTGAGTGGGTGAGTGAGTGAGTGAGTGGGTGAGTGAGTGTACCTGGGGTGAGGGGTGGTGGTGAGGAGGAGGGGTGGTGAGCAGGGGTGGTGAGTCAGCCACTCACCTATCGGATCGATCGCTCGCTCACTCACTCGCTCGCTCACTCACTCACTCACCTACTCATTCACCCACTCACTCAGTGAGTGGGTGAATGAGTGAGTGAGTGGGTGAGTGAGTGGGTGAGTGGGTGAGTGAGTGAGTGGGTGAGTGAGTAGGTGAGTGAGTGAGTGGGTGAGTGAGTGAGTGAGTGAGCAGGTGAGTGAGTGAGTGAGTAGGTGAGTGAGTGAGTGAGTAGGTGAGTGAGTGAGTGAGTAGGTGAGTGAGTGAGTGAGTGGGTGAGTGAGTGAGTGAGTGGGTGAGTGAGTGAGTGGGTGAGTGGGTGAGTGGGTGAGTGAGTGAGTGGGTGAGTGAGTGAGTGAGTGAGTGGGTGAGTGAGTGTACCTGGGGTGAGGGGTGGTGGTGAGGAGGGGTGGTGAGTCAGCCACTCACCTATCGGATCGTTCGCTCGCTCACTCACTCGCTCGCTCACTCACTCACCTACTCAGTCACTCACTCACTCAGTGAGTAGGTGAGTGAGTGAGTGAGTGGTGAGTGAGTGAGTAGGTGAGTGAGTGAGTGGGTGGGTGAGTGAGTAGGTGAGTGAGTGAGTGAGTAGGTGAGTGAGTGAGTGAGTGGGTGAGTGAGTGAGTGAGTAGGTGAGTGAGTGGGTGGGTGAGTGAGTGGGTGAGTAGGTGAGTGAGTGGGTGGGTGAGTGAGTGGGTGAGTGAGTGTACCTGGGGTGAGGGGTGGTGGTGAGCAGGGGTGGTGAGTCAGCCACTCACCTATCGGATCGTTCGCTCGCTCACCCACTCACTCAGTGAGTGGGTGACTGAGTGAGTGGGTGAGTGAGTGAGTGAGTAGGTGAGTAGGTGAGTGAGTAGGTGAGTGAGTGGGTGAGTAGGTGAGTGAGTAGGTGAGTAGGTGAGTGAGTAGGTGAGTAGGTGAGTGAGTAGGTGAGTGGGTGAGTGAGTAGGTGAGTAGGTGAGTAGGTGAGTGAGTGAGTGGTAAATGAGTGAGTAGGTGAGTGAGTAGGTGAGTAGGTGAGTGAGTAGGTGAGTGAATAGGTGAGTGAGTAGGTGAGTGAGTAGGTGAGTGAGTTGGTGAGTAGGTGAGTGAGTAGGTGAGTGGGTGAGTGAGTAGGTGAGTGGGTAGGTGAGTAGGTAGGTGAGTAGGTGAGTGCGTGGGTGAGTAGGTGAGTAGGTGAGTGGGTAAGTGAGTAGGTAAGTGAGTGAGTAGGTGAGTAGGTTAGTGAGTAGGTGAGTGAGTAGGTGAGTGGGTAGGTGAGTAGGTGAGTAGGTAGGTGAGTAGGTGAGTGAGTGGGTGAGTAGGTGAGTGAGTAGGTGAGTGGGTAGGTGAGTAGGTGAGTGAGTAGGTGAGTGAGTAGGTGAGTAGGTGAGTGAGTAGGTGAGTGAGTAGGTGAGTGAATGGGTGGGTGAGTGGGTAGGTGAGTGAGTAGGTGAGTGAGTAGGTGAGTGAGTAGGTGAGTGGGTAGGTGAGTAGGTGAGTGAGTAGGTGAGTGGGTAGGTGAGTGAGTAGGTGAGTGAGTAGGTGAGTGAGTAGGTAGGTGAGTAGATGAGTGACTGAGTAGGTGAGTGAGTAGGTGAGTGAGTGAGTAGGTGAGTGAGTAGGTGAGTGAGTGAGAAAGTGAGTAGGTGAGTGAGTAGGTGAGTAGGTGAGTGAGTGAGTGAGTAGGTGAGTAGGTGAGTGGGTAGGTGAGTGAGTGAGTAGGTAGGTGAGTAGGTGAGTGAGTGAGTGAGTAGGTGAGTGAGTAGGTGAGTAGGTGAGTGAGTAGGTGAGTAGGTAGGTGAGTGAGTAGGTGAGTGATTGAGTGAGTGAGTAGGTGAGTGAGTAGGTGAGTAGGTGAGTGAGTAGGTGAGTGAGTAGTTGAGTGAGTAGGTGAGTGAGTAGGTAGGTGAGTAGGTAGGTGAGTAGGTGAGTGAGTAGGTGGGTAGGTGAGTAGGTGAGTGAGTAGGTGAGTGAGTAGGTGAGTGAGTAGGTGAGTGAGAGAGTGAGTAGGTGAGTGAGTGGGTGAGTAGGTGAGTGAGTAGGTGAGTAGGTGAGTGAGTAGGTGAGTAGGTGAGTGAGTAGGTGAGTGGGTGAGTGAGTAGGTGAGTAGGTGAGTAGGTGAGTGAGTGAGTGGTAAATGAGTGAGTAGGTGAGTGAGTAGGTGAGTAGGTGAGTGAGTAGGTGAGTGAATAGGTGAGTGAGTAGGTGAGTGAGTAGGTGAGTGAGTTGGTGAGTAGGTGAGTGAGTAGGTGAGTGGGTGAGTGAGTAGGTGAGTGGGTAGGTGAGTAGGTAGGTGAGTAGGTGAGTGCGTGGGTGAGTAGGTGAGTAGGTGAGTGGGTAGGTGAGTAGGTGAGTAAGTGAGTGAGTAGGTGAGTAGGTTAGTGAGTAGGTGAGTGAGTAGGTGAGTGGGTAGGTGAGTAGGTGAGTAGGTAGGTGAGTAGGTGAGTGAGTGGGTGAGTAGGTGAGTGAGTAGGTGAGTGGGTAGGTGAGTAGGTGAGTGAGTAGGTGAGTGAGTAGGTGAGTAGGTGAGTGAGTAGGTGAGTGAGTAGGTGAGTGAATGGGTGGGTGAGTGGGTAGGTGAGTGAGTAGGTGAGTGAGTAGGTGAGTGAGTAGGTGAGTGGGTAGGTGAGTAGGTGAGTGAGTAGGTGAGTGGGTAGGTGAGTGAGTAGGTGAGTGAGTAGGTGAGTGAGTAGGTAGGTGAGTAGATGAGTGACTGAGTAGGTGAGTGAGTAGGTGAGTGAGTGAGTAGGTGAGTGAGTAGGTGAGTGAGTTAGAAAGTGAGTAGGTGAGTGAGTAGGTGAGTAGGTGAGTGAGTGAGTGAGTAGGTGAGTAGGTGAGTGGGTAGGTGAGTGAGTGAGTAGGTAGGTGAGTAGGTGAGTGAGTGAGTGAGTAGGTGAGTGAGTAGGTGAGTAGGTGAGTGAGTAGGTGAGTAGGTAGGTGAGTGAGTAGGTGAGTGATTGAGTGAGTGAGTAGGTGAGTGAGTAGGTGAGTAGGTGAGTGAGTAGGTGAGTGAGTAGTTGAGTGAGTAGGTGAGTGAGTAGGTAGGTGAGTAGGTAGGTGAGTAGGTGAGTGAGTAGGTGGGTAGGTGAGTAGGTGAGTGAGTAGGTGAGTGAGTAGGTGAGTGAGTAGGTGAGTGAGAGAGTGAGTAGGTGAGTGAGTAGAGTGAGTAGGTGAGTGAGTAGGTGAGTAGGTGAGTAGGTGAGTGAGTGGGTGAGTAGGTGAGTGAGTAGGTGAGTGAGTAGGTGAGTGAGTAG